AGGTTGTTTCCATATGTTGACTACTGGGAGTAATGCTACAATGAACAAGGGGGTGCAGATATCTTTTTGAGATCCTGATTTCAATTCCTTTGAATATATAGCCAGATGTGGAATTGCTGGATCATATGATAGTTCTATTTTTAATTTTTTAAGTAACCTCTACACTGTTTTCCATAATGGCTGCACCAATTTACATTCCCACAAACAGTGTGCAAGAGTTCCTTTTTCTCCACATCCTCATCCACTTGGATGAACCTGAAGGACATTGAAATAAGCCACACGTGGAAGGAGAACTACTATGAGATTTCAGTAGTACAAGTTTCAGTTGTACAAGATGAATAAATCCTAGAGATCTACCATACAGCATAGTGCCTATAGTTAACAACACTGTGTTGTATACTTAAAACCTTGCTAAGAGGGTAGATCTTATGTTAAGGGTTCTTATCGTACACACACATACACTCACACACACACACACACACACGAATAATACTCCATCACAGACTTGGGAGGGAAGTGATGACATAACGTGGATTTGTTGGAATGGTGCTGGTCCATAGCACTCATTACTATTAGGGATAATTATTACTGGAGCTTCTGTTCAACTCCTGAATTCCCTTCTGAACTCTTCTTTCTGCTCACTCACTTGTTTTCCGTAGGTAGACTCCTTTATTCCAAACACCTTTACTACTTCTCATATTGGCTTCCAAATCAATGTCTCTAGATCTTTCCTTACTCCTGAACTCCTTTCTTACATTTCCAAACCCATACTGGCTATCTCTCTACTTTCTGTAGGTACCTATATTTTAACTCATATAAAATAGAATTAATTGTCTCTTTTCTTGACCCAGATTTGTTCTTTTTTGTCTTTTTAGAGCTAATTTGTATTGAACAGAATACTAGCTCTTCTGCTAATATATATTTCTCATGAATGATTGCATTTCATCCTCACAACAATTCTTTGTGCTACTATTTTTCTTTCTTTTTCTATGAAGAAATGGAGGATTAGAGGGGCTAATTAACTTGCCCAGGAACACTCAGGTAGGAAAAGGTAGTTCCAAGACTTGAAGTCAGGTCCATTCAGCTCACAAGACCATTCTCCTCATCACTCTGCCAGGCTGTCTTCCAGGCCTTCGTGACTGGCAGAACTTTTCAAGCAGCCTCCCAAATTAAAGAGGTTTACTTTGATTCTTCCCACTTTCTCACCAACCTGTCAATGTTACCTTGAAAAGTATTCCTTTATAATTTTTATTTATTTATTTATTTTCCCCCAAAGCCCCAGTAGATAGTCGTATGTCATAGCTGCACATCCTTCTAGTTGCTGTATGTGGGACATGGCCTCAGCATGGCCAGAGAAGTGGTGCATCGGTGCACGCCCAGGATCCGAACCCAGGCCGCCAGCAGCGGAGCGCACGCACTTAACCGATAAGCCACAGGGCCGGCCTGAAAAGTGTTCCTTTAATCTCTTGCCTCCTCTCCATTTCCAGAGCCACTTTCCTCCGTGCGCCTGTTGGTTTTCACTCCCTCTGAGCTCCCACTGGGTCCTCTTTATCCAATCTTCACTTCATGTTACTCTAAAGGTAATCTTTGAAAATCCAAATCTGGTTGCGTCATTGCTGTGCTTAAGAGCCTTCTAAAATATCCTTGATGGATTCAATAAAATCCAAACTCCTCAACACAGCACAGAAGCTTCTTCAAATATCATCAGTTTATCTTTCCAGGCTCATCCGCCATGTCCCTGCTCCTTCTCCACTCTTGTCCTCTTTATATATCTTTGTTATTGTGGGGAACTAGGATACGCTCAATTTAATTAATCATTTGTTAATATAAGGAATTGTGTCTTCATTTAACAAGCAATTATTCTGTTTGTTTTACTTTAATCTAGTATTACACACACACACACACACAAGTGCATGTAACAACTGATGAAATCTTAATGGTATTGTGTCAACATCAATTTCCTGGTTTTGATAATGTACTACAGTTGAGTAAGTTGTTACCAGTAAAGGAAGCTAGATGAAGGGTACGTAGGTCTTCTCTGTACTATTTTTTGCAACTTCTTGTGAATCTATAATTATTGCAGATTAAAAAGTTTTAAAAACTAACGTAGTATTTGAGTTTTCTACTCAGGAAGCAGGTTGAGAAAAATAGTAGACAAGTAAGTACTATACCTTTAAATTATTACATTATTGTATTATATGGCTCCTCTTACTTGTTCTTTGGCCCTAGACTATGAGGTATATGCTGGATTTCACCTTGGAAAGGAGAGAAGAACCCTTACTGGCAGTAGAGCAAAGGCTGGGCTTTCAAACTAGACAACCTAGGTTGAATTTCAGCTCTGCTGTTTATAAACTAAATGAACTTGGGCAAGTCACTTATCCCTGAGCTTCAGTTTCATCACAATTATTATAAATATGATAATATGCTCTACTTCCTAGGGATTTGGGGATATTTAAACAAGATAATATATGTAAACAAGATAATATGCTTAAACAAGACAGAATGTCAAGTGCTTAGCTTATAATTAGCAGCCTTGACTTCTCTTTCTCTCAGTCCACATCAGCAAATCCTGTTGGCTCTACCTTTGCAATGTATCCAGAATCCTACCACTTCTCACCTCTACTGGCTGTCATCTCAGGTCCAGGGACCATCATCTCCCACCTGAATCACTCCAACAGCCTCTTGACTGGTTTCCTTGCTTCAGCCCTCAATATCTACCTTATAGCTAATCTAAACACAGCAGCCAGAGATACCCTGTCAAATTGAATTACATTATTCCTCTGCTCAAAATCCTCCAATGGTTTCTCCTTTCTCTCGGAATGGAAGGCAAAGCCCTATGAAATGGCCTCACAGCTCCCTGTCCTTCCATCTTGCACCTACCCACTCACTTCTGAGAGCCTCTCTTTTCACCTCTGAGATCCTGTCCTCACTCACTCAATCCCAGGACATGCTGTTAGTCCAGAACTTTTGCACTTGTATTTCCTTTGCCTGCATTGTTCCTCCCCCAGATGCTTTGCTCCTACTTTTAAGTCAATGCTCAAAGTCACTCTCAATGAGGCCTTCCTTATCACTCTATTTAAACTTGCAATCCCCATCACTTCCACCTTTGTTGTTGTCTTACCTCTTTAACATGCTATATAATTTATTTATTGTCTATCTTCCAGAACAGGGATGCAAGTTCCACCAGAACAAGTAGTTTTGTTCACCACTATGTCCCGCTGTGTACAATAGTGTCTGGCACATAGTTGGCCCTCAGTAATAACTTCCAAGTGAATGAATGGATGAATGAATGAATGAATTCCAGCAGATGAGCAAACCACAGAAGTGTGGAAGAACATGGTCCATTTGGGAAATTGAGAGCAGATGAGTGTGATCAGCATTAAGTGCATATATGAAGGGACCTGGTCTCTCTCCTTCCCTTCCCAGAAAACATTTTGAAGAGTCCTCAACACCCCATGTCTTCATTTCCTTAACTCACACACTTTCCTCACCTATTGCTGGTTCTCTTCTGCCTCCTTCACTCTATCACCAATAACCTCCAGATCAACGATGCCAGTTGTCATTCTAATTAATATTTGGGCATGATTTGTCACTGTTGACGGCACCCTCACCCTTAAACGATTATTTCCACTTGACTTTCATGACACAACACTCTCTTGGTTTTCTGCTCATCTCTCTGGGTGTCTCCTCTTTATCTCTTTTGCAGGCTAATCCTGTCCTATTCATCCAGTCAATGTTTGAGTTCATTAAGTTCCATTCTAGGCTCTCTCTTTGCCAACTCTACCCTTTTCCTAATCTGTCTCATCCACTTCATGGCTTTGATGACCACCTAGACTGAAATCACTCACAGGTGTATAGCTTTAACTCAGACTTCACCTCTGATGTCCAGATTGACCTGCGCCTTGGATGTCCTAAAGGAAATTACACTCAACATGTTCCAAACCACGCATGTGGTCTCTTCTTATCCAGCAAACCTACTCACGAGACTCCTCCAGCACCAGCCTCTTTTGTCTCTTTGGGATCTCTTACCTTGCCCCTTTGTCAGAAAAGCCCTCTTGTTATCTAGAACTCAGCTCAATTGCTACTCCCACAAGGATGCCTCCCCTGAGTTTCTGAGTAGATCAAATCTCCCATGATACATCATAGACCTTTTCTTCGTGGCACTTACCACAATTATTGTTTTGTATTTGCTCGTGCAAGTATTTAACAAAGGTCTGAACCCCAGCCCCCTGGCTAGTAAACTAGAGGCAGGGGTGATGTTGTTTGTATTCACCCTTGCCTCCCCAGACCTAGCACAGTGCCTGGCAGATAGTAGGTGCCCAACAAATATCCATTGTTTCCGTTCTAGTAATAAAAGTAATTATAACAGCAAATTACTGAGTACCAGCCCTAAACTATGCCTGACATTCATTGCCCCATTTAATCTTTAAGATAAGCTTTGAGTTCCCATCACCGTGTTCATACACATATATGTGTATATTTGCATATATATACATATAATATTACATCATGTGTATTACAATAGGTATATAATATATCAAATATATACATATAGCATCTGTTTCAACAGGAACATATGTATTATTATCATGCTATGCATACATACTTACTTTGTTTTAAAAATGAGGAAATTGAGACTTAGCAAAGTTAAGTAACTATCACAATGAGCCCAAAATAGGACTTGAACTCTGATTCCGGTCTCCTTTCTCTACCCACATCCTGTATAGAAAAGATACATTGGAGATGTGCAAATATTTTCCAGGTATTATCAACTTAATAATTTACACATTTAAATTCAGCTATTTTGCATCATATGGACACATATGTATTTAGATCTTATAAGTAGCATCGAGGGAACTTCAGATGACTTTTTAAAATGTGGCCCATCTTCTCTATCAAAATCACTGTTGTCTTAGATTTTACACTGGTCCAAGACCACACGGTTGCTGCTGCCCATTTGGAAACGACATTTCACTGTGGAAAAGGGGATTCAAACTCACCACTTTCATTGCAGGGGTGCATGTCCAGCCTCCTGATCCCCTCCAACCAGATGTCCCCACTTGGGGAAGAATTAGCATCACCAAAGATACTTCCACGCAGCCAGGATTCAGAGGCACGGAGGTTGAAGAGAGAAGAAAAAGAACGGCGGATTCTCTTTTTCTTTCTAAATATTCTGGAGAGAAATGAAAGTACCATGGTGAATAATGAACAGTAGTCGCCTCAGGTTCAACACAGAGAATTTAGTGAAAGTGACTTGATGCACAGAGCACGTCTCTACAACCCGGGTCAGCGAAGCTCATTTCATTTGTCCCCTCCATTACTGCCATAGAATTTTCTTAAATTTCTGTGTGTGCCGGATGCTTGGATCAATGTCAAGGATACTGAGGTAATAGACAAAGTGTTGGGTACAAAAGGTTCACAATCTAGTATGGGAGAAAGAAAAGAATAATGCAGACACAGCTAATGCTTTCATAGATCTTCTTCTGTGCCAGGCGTCTCTCTTAGTGGTCTACATATAGTAACACATGTTATGCTTGGAACAGCCCTGTGAGGTAGGTACTATTGCTATGCCATTTTTTAGATGAGGAAACTGAGGCACAAAGAGGTTAAGAAACTTGTCTGAGGTCATACAGCTAGTAAGTGACACAGCTGGGATGCAAACCCAGGCAGTCTGGCGCCATAGTCTTGACTCTTGATCACTGTGCTATGTCGGGGATGTGCACTCTGGTAGAATTAACTGAAGGCTGCTTTGAGGGTACCAGGAGGGGCATTGCTAATCTCCTGGGATAGGAGAGCTCTGAGCTGCATAGGGTGACCTGACCTATTCAGGGAAGAACAAGTAGATCTCATGCTGGGTCATGCTAGGTAACGAGGCAGGAAAGGTAAAAAGAAGGCAGGTCATGAAAACCTGGAAGGAGGTTTTCAGAGGAGTTGAAATTTAATGTTAGAACAAAGGGAGACCATGAAGCAAGTCAAAGAGAAGGAGATGGTGGTGACATGATTTGGTTTGCACTTCCAAAAGATTTTGACTACTCATGCCCCCATACTCCCAATAATCCATCCTCTATGTGGTAATCAGTGTTATCTTGCTCAGGATAAAGCTGATAATTTGTTGATGGCTCCTCTTTATTCACAAATAAAGCCCAACTCCTTAGCTTGGAAATTAACCCCCTCCATCCAGCCCCTGATTCTGTGCTCAGTCTTCTCTCTTGCAGAGCATTCCTTTCCACACTAAGTTGTATCCCTACCAAACTACTTGCCATTTCCCAAATGGTATCAGGGTCTCTCAGAGTTCCATGCCTACTCTCTCTCTCTGCAAGTCCCTTTTTCCACTTCCATTTTAACTAACATCCTACATCTCTTATAACTCAGATCATGCATCATTATCTCTAGGAAGCTTGTTTTTACCTGTCCTCCAAGTAAAATAAGCCTCCCTTCCTTTTCCCACCACTGCACTCTATTCAGATTTCTACCCCAGCACCTGCGTCTCTTCACTACTTTTGTTTGATTTCGTGTCAGTTATCCCTGCCCCTTATTAGTGTTTGTGTTCCCACAGTCAGGAGCAGTAACGGCCTCCTTATAAATGATTGTTGGATGAACAAATGAATGAGTGAATAATTAATGGATGGATTGCAGTTCAGACTCTTTTATGTAATATCCTCTACTTACCGAACTAAATTCTCCTTGTACAGAACACTGGTCTGGGATGGGCTCAGAGTTATGTTGCCATTTTTGTCGCAGAGGAAACTGTCTTCAGTCCAAATGTAGTAGCCATTGGTGAGGAGTCTGGGACTTCGGCGGCAGGTAAAGTGGGAGCCTGTTAGGGGATCTATGGAGCAGCATTCAAAGGAACTGTCACCATCCAGGAGATCACAGGCAAAACTAAAGACAGAATAAGGAAAGGCCTTTAAATCTCTATCCAGTACATCCGGTCACACAAAAACCTCATTTCTAGTCATCGTGAAGAAAAATACCTCTTTGCAGTCATGGCTACCAGTTACTTCTGCAACTCTAAGAATGTCACTCAATCCTCTGGGCTTCATATCTTCACTTGAGTGCATTGAACTGCAGGACGTTTAGTCCTTCTTTCTGTTTTAAACACTTCGGTGAAACATTATGGCTAATCAGTTTCTTCGTCATATGATGCACCTACACCCTTGACATTAGTCCGTTTTCTTGGATGGAAAATATTGCAAAACAGGCTATCTGGGATATTGGAAGCTCATAGTCTCCTCCACCCTCCTTACTTTGAATAGCCTTCCAATTGCTATATCCTTACTCTTGTCATGTAATAGATAAATTATAAATATGCAGCCACCAGATACATATGAGTTATAGGGTAAACATGCAGTCAAAGAAATCTTTTTGGTCTTTGCCAGTTTCCCTCTAGGTCAGCTGCACAAATGACAATGCAGTTACCTTCTCTGGTTCAGTATGCAGGCAAGTCTCCTACTTAGCTGGATAAATCTGTATGTGTCTTAGGTTTGAAAAACAATCACATGCCTATATGACTGAAAGGCAACCTCACACCTCTTGCTGCACTGAATTTCTGATAAATTTCTTAATTTAAAAGCCTAGTCACAATTAATACATACAGTAAAGTTAGTAAAATATTATTTTAAATATGGATATTACTTATTGAAATATTACTATGGGCCTGGCCCATACTTCACACTTGATCTACTTTTCACAAACCTCTTTAAAAACTAAGTATTATTATCTTCAATGTACAGTAGGAAAAAAATGAGATGCAGAGGGGCAAATAACTTGGACATTTTATGTAGCTAGTGAGTGGCAGAGCTAGAATTTGAATCCTGGTCTGTCTGACTCTAAAATATGTACTCTTTCCACGTGACCTGTTTGTTCATCCTTGGCTGATTCATTTGCTAGTAGCAGGATGCCTAGAATCTACAAAAAGGGGCAAATTCTAATACCAACACATGACCCCTTTGTACCATTGGAACATTTCACAAAATGCTAGAGGAAATATCAACCGATGCGTGTGTAAGGGACAAAAGACAGACAGAAAGAAAAAAAAGGAATGGAGGGAAAGAAAAGAGACTTCATCGCAGAACTTGAACAAAATGGTAGACTCTCCATGTGGAGCATGAAATTTGGCCAACTTGTGCATTGGTGTAGAATCTTGTTGTTCTTGTAAAGTGAGATAGAAAAGCATATTTAAGAGAACATCAATTTGAGAAAAAGTAACCATACATCAGTATTCATTAGTTTCTCCACTCACCAAACAAACAATTAACACTTGCTTCACCCCCACCGGAGTTCCATTATTAAGTTAGGCAAGTTTTCATTTTGTATGTGCAACGGACTGAAAATACACACATGTGCCAAAACTGGATAATAGCTAAAACTAATATTTTTAAACGAAGAATACAACAAAATAAGGCAAGCAGTAAGAGAATTTGATTGCTCTTTCTTGAGAAAAGTCCCATGGGATACCTTGGGAAAACGCACGTGGGAGACTGCTCTCTAGAATATTCTTTCTCGGACCCAGAAGAACCTGCATAAGCAAATGAGAGAGAAGTACAAATTTATCACATCTCACCAACATGCATCATTGCAAACAGTGGAGCCTGTAAAGAAGGTGTGAATAGCTGGTGTCACCCTCAGCAGAGATGCCAACTGGGGCAGCCACCCAATGAGTCAGTACTAACACAACTTGTCACCAGGCCTCCACAGAAAGCAAGAAATAATCTAGGGACTTCTATTTTCTGTTTCTTCTCTCATTCATTACTCCTTTAGAGGTTCCTTAGAGCAAGATGAGTCAATAATAAATCATTAGCATCAAACTGATTCATGAAAAGGCAGAAGAAAACATCCTGTGTGAAGCTGTAGAAAACCAAAATCAATTACCCAATGTGCTGGTTATTTTAGCTTACCCAGTAATTTGAGGAATTCAATCATCTGCCTGGACTCTCTCTCATTAGTGCATTTTAAGGCACTTCTATTGTAAAAGAATGAGCAAAAGACTTTAGTGGAGGAAAATAAAAAGTTTTGTTTTGTTTTATATAAATGATTTTCTAATGTATGAAGCCTGTGAGTATTCTTAATTTAAAAAAATCATGCATGCCTTCATTCCAGTTTACAAAGGTGTGGCAACAGATTTCAATTGGGGAAAGTTGCACTTAATTAATATTCTAAACTCTAAAGCAGAATTTTATGTTGTGGAGTAATGGTGTGAATTCTTCTAATAGACAGGCCCAGTGAGACTTGATTCCATTACTGACAATTAATATCTGAGACAAAGAAAGGAATGTATACTTTCAGATGGGGCTGGTTGATTTGTAAAGAGAAAATTGTAGATGTGTGAGGGAGGGTTAGAAGTAGAGTTTGAGGGAAAGGATAAGAGGAAGGAAGAGACTTGAAACCACTACCGTTTTAACAACGCCCTTATTTTCTGCAAGTAGCTATCAAAATCATTCAGTGTTTTTTTTATAGACAAACAGTTTTGCATCTTAATAGTGCTGATAAACAATCTCCTTTCACATTGATGCACAGGCATCTAAAAAAGATGGTGATTTTTTTTTTCTACTGAAAGGAAAAATACCACATTTCTATCAAGGAAAGAAATGAAGTCAAAATCATTGCCAAAGTGAGCACTGGCATTTAAGAAGCACAAGCTACTGACAGATGGTTAATGGTATGAGTATCAGCAAAATCAAAGCAAGGAAATTGCTAAAAGCAGTCTAATCGTTCAAAAGATAATTGCGGTTCTCTTACATTTGCTTGCGACTGGTGTCGCTATCAGTTGAGAAATTCGGTACATCTTGGGAAGGCTGCTTGTTCAAACTTCACAGATTTTCTGCAAAAGATGTTAAAAAAAAGATGGATTATATGTTAAAAATAGAAAAATGATGCCAAAACAGATGGCATCTACTAATTGCACTAGTCAGATTTGTTTACTGAAATAATACAGAAACAGAGGATTGAAGGCAGGAGACCGGATGGAAGGACCACTGAGGTTGTGTCTGCCTCTCTGATTTCGTACTACATTTTCCATTGTCACACTCAGTGTACCTAAATCATCTTTTTTCAGTAAATAGGAGCTAGATTTTATTTGGAAAAGCTAGACTTACGAAGGTTGACCTGTCATCAAAACAAAATAATGAAAATGAATTATTTGATTAAGAAATTGGAAACAAGATTGGTTCTAGAGCCCTCTAAATAAGGATGTTTGTATTTTCATCATCCAACACACATCAACTTTATCCAATGCTTGGGGATTGGTGTCTTTCTTTTACCCAACACCTCAAACCATTGACAGGTAGTCATAGAGAGGGCCAGTGGTCTTTGGAGCTGACATCAGCCTGGACATTCCTAAGCAGCATCAACAACATTGCACTAAAAATAGTATACCACCGGGCAGATTTCAAAACTCAGTTCTCATGAACATGTAATTTACTTTCCCAATTACAAATTAAACACACATCCAAGTGTGTAAATTACGTAAACTTTGATCATTTACCACTCATCACATAGATCTACCTTCTGTTGACTAACTTTGTATTCATCACTACCCTAATAGCTTTATAAGGTAGGACTAAATTCTTTTCTGATTCATCACCTCCATCCACATTTTAAAAATGTGACAACTAGTAACGGATTGTGTTTGTAGTTGCCATACATTAAATCAAACCAGGATAACTCTATAGCTCCAAATTGATTCTTTCAATAAACTATATACAAAACCTGTTAGAAAATATCGATTCTGGCTTATAAAGACCTTTAGAGAAGTCAGGGGGACTTTCTGGCATTCCTTGGAAGATCTCTAAATCGAAGCACACATTCATAGTTTAGAATTCATTCATCGGTTTAGAATAAAAAATAATACTGTTTGCACTATAATATAATAGTATATCACTTGTTATTTTGATTTTTTACCAATACAATATGAACATGTCCAGCCCAAATTACCCCACATTAGTTTTTCCCAAGCGTTAAGTTTAATTTTAAGCCAACAAGCCCTGAGGCAAAAAGCGAGATCTTGGTGCTATGTCTTACAAATACTTGTAGCAGGCTACAGGCAGTATACTAACAGTTAACCAAGTATTAATAACACCGAAAAAGACTTCAGTTACAGCTCTAAATCTTTTCAAGAAACAGATCCTATCTACTAGTTCCATCAAAGCAATGCATCTGTTCTGAAAAACAATTTGCCCATACATGTTCCTTCCAAAGGGAGTTCCCAGTCTCTTCTTCCGATTGATAAATGACAAAATAATTGCTGAACTACCAAGCTTCCCGTGGTTGACAGGCAGCGGAGAAATCCAGGACTTAGCAGTTTTTCAGCTGAAAGTAATGTCAGAGTGTCAACAGGCACAGAAGTCTCTTCATAAAGGGAAATCCCATCTTTGCCTCCTAAGAGATGCCTGCACGTATTGCCGTGTGCAGGCGTTTGCAGAGAAGTTTTGTCTTCACTAGCCTCTTGTTCTTTTGGATGTTTCCTAGAATAGAAGAGCGCTCAGTTCTTGGGAAAGTCAGCCTTACAACCGCTCTTGTTTTCTTTCAAAAACAGCCTGCGGAACCGGAGGCTGAGAGGCAGAATGAGGTCACACTTCCTGTTGGGCTCACATCAGTGGTATTCATGCTGAGGCGCACAGTGAAGACTCAAGACTGTCTCCTGGACCAGCAGCAGGGGATGTGAAGCCCATGAGTCAGGGCAGCTGCTGCATCGTGGTCAGTGGAGGGATGCTTTTCTGAGCTAACATGTCACCCCTAACTGCGAGAACATAAGGAAAACTTTCAGAGGAGCAACACTTCTTGCTTATCATCTCCCGGTCATTTTCAGTATGAGTAGTGATTTGTCCAAATCGATTAAATTTATTGATGATAAGGCACTGATGCTATTGAAGTCAGAATATGATTAAATACAAGGAAACTGATCTTCTGGAAATGTCTGCAGTGACAATATTTTGATCCACCAAAGTCTGGGCTTTACAAGAATCTCTATGGGTAGCATTTTACGTTTTATATGTATATTTTAGTAGAGTTCAAAGAACTTGGTGCTGTTGGTGGGTCCCTACAAATCTCTGGTATTGCAAGTGGTAAAAGAAATATATGTTCCAGCAACACTGATGTGCATCGAGTCGTGGAAAGCATGTCGGTTTTGGAGTCACACAGACTGAGATTCAAACTCTTTCTGCCATACTAACTGTGTGTCCTCAGACTTATGACTTAACCTTTTTGAGTAGCAATTTTCTCAGTTATAAATGTAATAATATGTATTTCACAGGATGGCTCAGAGAATTAAATGAGATAAAAGAAATGAGAAATAAGTAAGTCCTCAGCTCAGATGCACAACAAGTATTCCTTATTTGTTTTCTGTATATCAACTTCTCTTCTGAGGCCCCAGTTGGTCAGGCTGGCAGAAAAGTTAATCTCATTCATTTTTGGGGTTCCCTGTCCCCCTGTGGTTATGCCACAGGTGGCATCTTCTGTAGAACATGCTCCATGAAGCAGAAGCTGTTAGAAGGAGAGCCTGTATAGTCTGTGGTAGGCAGCTTCCAAAGATGGACCTCAAGGATCCTTGTGTAATCCCCTCCCCTTCAGTGTGGGCTGAAGCTAGTAATGTGCTTCTTCTAAATAGAAAAAGACAAAAGTGATGGGTTGTGACTACCAGGATCAGGTTGCAAAGACCACAGTTTCTGTCTTGCTGGACTCTCTATTATCTTCTTGGCTTACACACTTTGATGGAGCAAGTTGCCATGTTGGAGAAGCACACATGGCAGGGATCTGAGGGTTGTCTCAACTGCCATTGAGGAACCCAGCCAACAGCAAGTGAGTGAGCTTGGGGGTGGCTCCTTCTCCAGTTGAGCCTTCAGATGACTACAGCCCCAGCTAATACTTTGATAGCGGCCTGTGAAGCACCTAGAAGTGGAGGAGCCAGCTTAGCCCTGCTCAGATTCCCGACCCACAGAAATCGTGTGATAATAAAAGGTGTTTTAAGGCATCAAGTTTTGGGGTAACTTTTTACACGACAATAGATAACTAATACATAGTCCTAACAAATGTTACTTTCTGAACCATCCATAATTCTGGTTTACTTTGTCAGTGTCTCTCTACTGCTTTAGTGCCATCCTTAGAATGCAGGCACATTTATTCAAGGCTGCCTCTGGTCACATCTGCCTAGGTTTACCGGATAGCTATTCTGCTCTACAGCTGTTCTGGGAGTCTGCACCCTCTTTCCTGTAATTCATAGCTCTCTTCCTTCTCTCTCTCTTCCTACTCCTCCTATTCTTCCTATTTCTCATCCTAACCCTTTGTTTTGAGAGGTTCAGGGGATTCGATTGGAGATGTAAAAGTAACTTTCCACTCCAAACAGATGGACTGAAGGTATATTTTATTATATAGAGGATAGTAAAGGCAATAGTCTGCAAACAGATTCGAATAGATCAAATATTAAGAGGGAAAAACATCAGCTTGACTGGAAAGGGAAAACATCCATATCGACTGAGATAGCAGCAGATTCAAATAGATCATATAATGAGAGGGAAAAACATCAGATCGATTGGAAAGGGAAAAACATCCACATCAACTGAAAGGAAATGACACAAATCAACGGGAAGGAGAAACACCAGGTTGACCGAAAAGAGAACACATCAGATCGGTTACTCACAACATCCACGCCCCACTGCCGGAGAGAGTCCCTTCAGTTGACACGGCTGGGCGGGAATCCGATCATCAGAGGTCCTGGGCAAGGCATCCCTTCCACAGGTGAGACTCTCACCAGGCCTCAATCTCCAGCAGTTTATATAGCATCAGTAGTTTCCAGAGTAAACAGTTACAGAGTTTACAGAGCAAGCATTCAATGTTCCCATGCACAAATGGCTATCAGTGGCATATGTGCACTGAGCTTCCTGGCTATCGTCCCAGCCTGGCAGTTGTGTACGTGCATTGTTTTCCCTGTTATCATCCCAGCCCAGCACAGATGGCCAGTCTGCCCCAGGCTGCGATGCCCAAAGGACTTTGAAATTTTTACAAATTGCACTTATCTCCGTGGGAGAAAGGCCAGTTCCTGGGAAAAAGGCCAGTTCCCACCACACAGAAAGCAGCTTTATATTTTGTTGTGTGCTGGTGGCTGTAGGTCAATGGAGTGACCAAACATGACTGTACTCATGTCAAGCCTTGGTTAATGTCTTCTAGAAGAGGAGGGAAAAAATCTTTCTGACTTCTTCAAGACCCTCTGCGTATGTCCACTAGTGCCCTTTCCCAAAAGGTTGACATCAAAAAGACTTTTGTCTATTCCTTTACAGATCTGGCACACATTAGGACCTCATTAATAATCATAATAATTGCTAACTTTATGGAGCCCTTACTATGTTCCAGGCACTTTACATATATTAGCACATTTAATTCTCATACCTACCCCATGAGAGAGGCTCTGTTATTATCCTCATTTTACAGATGAGAAAACCGAGGCATGGAGAGTTAAATACCTTGCCCAAAGTCACATAGCCATAAATGGTGAGCTGGTAGAGCTGGGATTCAAACCATGGCAGGCTGGCTTCTGAGCTTGTATTCTTAACCTATAAGTGATAATGATCACATCAAACATGTCTGAGCATTTCCTATGAACCAGTCACTGTATGAAACACTATACATACTCGATCTTGTTCAAACCTCACACAGCCCTAGAAAATAAGTACGGTTATTATCCTTACGCAGGACAGAGGTTTAGAGAGTTTACACAAGTCTCTCAACAGTGCCAGCTGCCAGAGCCAGAATTGCTACCCTGCAGCTTCCCCTTGGCTTCTCTCTCTTCGGGCCCTATCATCTCCTTGCTGTTCCTTAAACGCCAGGCTTGTGCCTCCTCCAGGATCTTTGTGTTCACTCTTCTCTCTGCCCAGAATATGCCCTGATAGTCACAGGGCTTTCTTCCTCCCCTCTCTTAGCTCTTTACTCAATTACCCTGGTCACTAACTCAATTGCCCTCCACACCCACTCCCTATTCTCTCCTTGCTTTATTCTCCTTAGCACTTTTCACTATGTAACATACTATGCAACTTGTGCTTTATAATGCTAAATATATATTCCTCAGCTAGAATGTAAGCTTTATGAAGACAGAGAATTTTGTCAGTTTTCTTCATTTCTCTAGCTCCAGTATCAACAACAGTGCCTGCCATGTAATAGATTGTCAATTAATATTTCTAGAATCAATGAATAACTGAATTAAAATCTAGGTAGAACTGACTTCAGAACCTTTATTCTGCATGCTATAAAACAGTGTTTCTAAAAGTATGATCCACAGGATGCTCAATTCTAAGTTATTAATGGAGGTTATTTGTGTGAAAGGGAAAAAAGGGGAGTAGTAAATTTAAGGCCAGTCTACCACTTCTATTTAACATAGAACTGGAAGTCCTACCCAGAGCAAGTAGGCAAGAAAAAGAAATAAAAGGTATCCAAATCAGAAAAGAAGAAGTAAAATTATCTCTGTTTGCAGACGACATGATCTTATGTGTAGAAAACTCTAAAAACTCCTCAAAAAAAGAATTTTTAGAACTGATAAACAAATTCAGTACAGTTGAAGGATACAGAATTAACATACAAAAATCAGTTGTGTTTCCATATATTAACAACAAACGATCTGAAAAGGAAATTAAGAAAACAATCCCATTTCTCATTATACAATAGCATCAAAAAGAACAAAATACTGTGGGATAAACTTAACCAAGGAAATGAAAGGCCAGTACACAGAAAAGTATAAAATATTGATTAAAGAAATTAAAGCAGACATAAGTAAATAGAAAGACATCTCGTATTCATGGATTAGAAGAATTAACATTGTTAAAATGTCCATACTACCCAAAGCAATTTATAGATACAGTACAATCTCTATCAAAATCTTAATGGCAGTTTTTACAGATGTAGAAAAACCAATACTAAAATTCATAGGTAGCCACAAAAAACTCCCAATAGACAAAGCAATTTTAAGCAAGAAGAAAAAAGCTGGAGGTATCACACTTCCTGATTTCCAAATATATTCCATAGCTACAATAATCAAAACATTATGGTACTGGCATAGAAACAGACACATGGATGAATGATACAGAATAGAGAGGCCAGAAATAAACCCACGCATATACAGTTAACTGATCTTTGACAAGGGAGCCAAGAATACATAATGGGGAAAGGATAGTCTCTTCAAAAATAGTGCTGAGGGGCTAGCCCTGTGGCATGGCAGTTAAGTGCCTGCGCTCCGCTGCTAGCAGCCCCGGTTCAGATCCCCAGCATGCACCGACGCACTGCTTGTCAGGCCATGCTGTGGCGGCGTCCCATATAAAGTGGAGGAAGATGGGCATGGGTGTTAGCCCAGGGCCAGTCTTCCTCAGTAAAAAAAAAAGAGGAGGATTGGCTTGGATGTTAGATCAGGGCTGATCTTCCTCACACACACACACAAATAAAATAAAATGGTTAGTCCTTTAAAAAAAAAATGGTGCTGGGAAAACTGGTTATCCACATGCAAAATAAGGACATTAGACCCTTATCTTACACTATACACAAAAACCATCTCAAAAT